CTGATGGGTTTTAAGAGGTTTAATACATCGAGATAATTTCTATAAAATCCAGACCAGGCCTCTATTGGAGACACACCGGGCTTTTAAAAGAGACCTGCGTCTGTTAGGGACTCTGCTTTTATTGGAAGTTTTACGGTATGAATCCTCCGACGGTGAAAACATGTTTTATTTCCTCGTTGTTTTGTTCTCCGCAGGCGTCGTCTCCACAGTCGTTCCCGATTCCCCCCACAAACTGTTTATAGGAGGGCTGCCCAACTACCTTAACGATGACCAGGTATTTACCCGCAGACAGACTGAACGGGTGCACTCGTGTTTCCTCTTTTTTTTCTCTCACTTGCTGAGTCACACTTTTTGAATAAAACGTTGCACAAAAAAAATATGTTTTTACATTTCTTTATGACATGAAACAATCTTCTTAGAGAAGTAATAAAAGCTGTTTATCAGAGCCAGAAACAGGACGTGACCCCGTAGCATAAAACATAAATACCTTCATATTTAATGTATTAATATGTATCTGATTTAAATAAGCTCTTATTTTGCCTCAACAAACATTAATCATATCATGTCATTAATCATATATGATGAGTATGATCTAAGTAAACTGCGTATACCTTTCTCATGTAAAGCATACTGATTAAAGAAAGGTAAGCAAAGTCCAGTATATTTACACAACAGGCTGATGAACTGTATTTATCTCTGTGTGATATTTAGGCCTGAATGTTGTTGCTGCATATTCATTATGAGTCAGTATTGTCAAAGAAAAAGTCCACCTTAAGAAACCTTCTGCTAACAGTGGTAGTGGTTCTGGATTGTTTTAATTAGTTTAAATTAGTTGTAAAACCTTCTTTTTATAGCGACTTAAAATCAAACTGATCACAAAAACATTAAAATATAAATTAGTGTGACAAGAAAATGATGGTTTTGTTCTAACCAACCAAACCACTGGAGGCAAAGACTCCTAGCCAATCAGAACCAGAGCAGTGCAGGTCATGACTTCGCCATCCTGGGAAGAAATAAAAATACTTTAGTGGGTATTTTTCAGCCTTTTCTTACATTTTAGGGACCAAACGATTAATAAATTGAATGAAAAAGCAGATTAATTGACAGTGAAAGTAATAATTGTAAGAGAGAGATGCTGACGTTAAAAAAAACGTCACTTAGAAACATCAGAGAGCACTGACAAGTAAAGTTCAGTTTATCACAATTATTTAAAAAACAAACACGAAGAGATATATCAAACGAATAAAATAGGTTCTTTAAACTTCCAAATATCAATATCCCAGTATTGGTTGGGTTATACTCTTATTTAATTTATTTTTATTTTACCTTTATTTAACCAGATAAGTCAATTGAAAACCAATTTTCATTTACAGTGACGACCTGGCCGAGAGGCAGCGACAGGAGGCGAGTCGATAGTAAAACATAATACAGCTAATGCAGAAATCAATACAGTTAAACAGGGTTAAAACAGCACAATATATACAATATTTATATGTATATATTCATAAATATTGTATAAACACAACAGAGATCAAAGTGCTGTATTTAAAAGCAGGTGCAGTGATCAGAAACTAACATGTACTGAGTTATTAATGGAGGATGATGGAATAAGCAGTTTTAGAGACTTTTGTTTGAAACTTGTTGTCCCACTTTGCATCCAGTTAGTTTGGGCCCAGTTTTAGGAAGGAATTATGGGTAAAATCAGGCACCTAAAGAGGAAGTTGGAGCACATAAAGTAGGGCTGTGACATTATAATGAAGTTCTTTAGAGGTGACCTGGTATCCGAATCTTATTCTCTTTAAAGTTGTTATTCTAAAACTGATCATTCCCAAAATAATCAGTCACTAAAGTCACTAAAACTCCAGAAATCCATTGATTATTTTTAAGGAGTCAGAACTAAAAGAACAAGTGGACTTTTTCTTTGATAAACATCCAAACTCAGAGTGAGTATCTGCTGATTAACAGGCCGTCACGAGTCTAATACCTCCACAGTAACTGTGCTCAGGTGAGCAGAGGGTGTAAAGTTCCTCTGATTCGCACTGAATTTGATCCTAACTGTCCGTTCTGTGTCACTCACAGCTTACAGAGCACCTGATGTATATTATTCACTGACTTTTATATATATATATTCATTTATTTTTAATACTTGCAGTCACTGCCACTGCGTTGATACTCACAGCTCTTTCATTTTTGTTCCCCCACTTTGTCCCCAGCTAGGGGCCTGTAAGATCGTTAAGTCTGCGCTCATAATTTGTTCAGTAGTACTCATCTACTGCTGCCATGCCAACATGTAACACAAGGCAAGTAAGACATTCTGGTCCTCACACGGATACACTCCTAGCCAGCAAGGCTCCCTTACTGGCTGCTTTCTTTCTACCCATCATGCTTTTGGAGCGCGTTTTAGGACCCCCGGGATTTTGGGTTAAGGCCAGGATTCATTAAGACTTTGGGGATTGTTGTTGTTGTTGTTGATGGTGGTTGGTTTTGTTTGTTGGGGGAGGGGTGGGGGTGTGTATTCAGCTTTTAATGTAAAGGTAAGAAAGGTTTTTTTTTTGCCTGTAGCCGGCAAAAATACAATAAAGAGTTACACTTTTTACCTTTAACGTAGGCACAACTACAGCTCTGAATATGAGCTTATTATTATTCTTTCACTATAATTTAAACGTCTCAATAATAGTATGTAGTTATTGTGTTGTTCCCCTCATGCAGCCCAGATACACACCATTAAACGCTTCAAAAGAACATTTTTTTATGCACAGTCTCTCCTGTAAACTGCACAAACGACTATTTAATTGCGCACATTTTCTTTGTTTTCCAGTAATCCTGTTATTAGTTATTCTGTGATGGTTTATAATTCACTCTGTAGGTTTACTGCGCGTTCACTACGAGCCATCGCCCTCACATCCTGTCGTCTGACTCTTTTCTGCAGGTAAAGGAGCTCTTGACGTCATTCGGGCCCCTCAAAGCGTTCAACCTAGTGAAGGACAGTGCCACGTCACTGTCGAAAGGTTACGCCTTTTGCGAATACGTCGACGTCAGCGCCACCGATCAGGTGAGTTTCTGTTCAAGTTCAAAGACCTTTATTTGTCCCAACAACACGAACGACGGCAGCAGCAGAGGGAGAGACGCACGGATAAAAAGGGGGGAACAGCCGGGGATGAAAGAGAGAGAGAGACGTGATGTTTGTTTTACAGTTCAGGTAGTTCTGAGAGAAGCAAACTAGCAAATATAAGTCAGTAAAAGATTTATGAAACTGTCTCAGGGTGTTTATAGATTGAGTCCTTTGTGTGTTTCCTCTGTCAGGCAGTCGCTGGGCTCAATGGGATGCAACTGGGCGACAAAAAGCTGATAGTCCAAAGGGCGAGCGTGGGAGCTAAAAACGCCAATCCTGTGAGTAACGACCATCAGTATCCAACCAGCGCCCTCTTACATACACTGTATTATTATTACAATCATAAAACTAGTCTGTAAATCACTGTGGCCCTGAGAGATAAACATAACTTAAAGATCTCCTGCAGACGCGTATTAAGACGTATATATTAATTATCTGCTCGAAACTATTTAAATTTCCACATTAAAACATCCAGAATCTATGAAATGTTCACATTTTGTTCATTTCTAAAGTCTCCTACTGTAAAGTCCATCCTCAGTGTCTGACTGGTGGATCTCACTGTTTAAGTACTGTGCTGGACTTGAGCTCTCAGGGCCACCGTACTAAATGAAAGGCGTCCAGATAATAGATGATGAAGAACACAGATTTCATCCTTCAAACCACAGGAACAGCTGAAGGATTCTGCTTCCACATTAACGACCTGAGCTCAGAAACACCTTTAAAGAAAAGTACATTGTATTATATAAATGTTTTTATGCAACTTATGGTTAGAAATCCTATAAACAAACACTTTATTCTCCACTGTGAGCTACAGTTTAAAGACTCGATGGCAGATGGAGGGAGCGAAAGGTCGACGGAGAGATTATGTTTATCCGGAGGGAGGGGGGCAGGAAGCAGGAGGCCTTATGGGAAATGTATTTTGTTCCTGCAGACCTCCATCATAGAGACCCCGGTGACGCTGCAGGTCCCCGGGCTCCAGAGGCTGCAGAACTCCGGCATGCCCACGGAGGTGCTGTGCCTTCTCAACATGGTGATGCCCGAGGAACTGGTGGACGACGAGGACTACGAGGAGATCCTGGAGGACATCCGCGAGGAGTGCTGCAAGTACGGCAGCGTCCGCTCCATCGAGATCCCCCGACCCGTTGACGGCGTGGAGGTCCCCGGCTGCGGAAAGGTGGTTCATTAACTAAATTAACTAACATAACTTTCAGTCTTAATTTAAACGGGTTAGTTATGTATAAAAAAAAACCCTGTACAGTTGTTATTTATGGGGAAATGAGCTACAGGGAGTAAAACAAGGCTGTAAACATGTTTATTTCAGCTGTAAAGACATTTTAACGTGAGCCCTTATGGAGATTGACTCACTGTTGGAGCCAGCCTCTAGTGGCCGTTAGAGGAACTGCAGGGTTTGTTACTTCCACGTTGGCTTCATTTGCAGCCATGGAGGTTAGCGTTTGGTGTTGACCCATTTAATCGGAACCGCTGTGTTGTCTGAATATTTCCCTACTATCTAAGCGTCCAACAATGTTCAGTTCAAGAGTTTGTATCAGAAACTCTCCGCAGAGGCTCAGCATGAGAAACTTATGTCTCCACACATTTATTTCAAGATGGAGTGCATGAGCAGAAAGAACGCAGCCAGAAAGTAATCAGGTTACATTTGTTAAATACAGGGGAACTAAAAGGTCTCTGTGGAGCATCACCACACAGTGTGATGTGTGTGTAACACCACTGCAAGGAAACACATAAAAATATTCAACAGATCCCACCTTGGGCTTGTAGAGAATATCTGTTTTTGTTAAAACGTATTGGCCTAAGTATAAAACCTCAAATATGAATCTTACTTAGGTAAAGTTCTTGTACGGCTGCTTATGTTTTACAACATCTTTTGTTAAATGGAAAAATATGCTTATATTTTTTAAGTAAGGTAAAAATAAAACGATGAATGCACCATTCAGCTCAACCAAAATGATTGCCATTTTCTTCCTTGAGTTGGAAATGTTTCTTTTTTCTTTACCATGACACAAAGTTGTATTAGAGACGAAAGAAAATAGCTTTTATTTTTAATTAATTTGAAAATGGTGCAGATATTTTGCCTGAAGTGTATTATACGCACCCCTCTGATCATAAACAATAAATGCTTTTACATGCCGTTCAGTGAATAACGCAGAGCTCACCAGACTCATAAACTGAGGACATTTGTCCTAAAATCAGATATCTGAGCCATGCTTGTCATTTACCTGGCAGACCGGGGGCACCTGGTGCTCCTTTGGGTCCTCTCTCTGTGGGTCCTCTGTCCCCTCTGTCACCCTGGTCACCTGCAGAGAGGAAACGTAATTATCACCAAGAGGATACACATAATTGAAGTTACCATATTTAGTTGAAGTTCATGCCCAGACTTCACACCTCATCTGTTCCTTCATTAACATTAACATGAACTTGATTGGTCCCTGAGGGGGAAGTGGGTCACTGCTGCTTCATTAACTTATTTAAAGATGTACAGATGATTAGAGCCCACAAATGTTCAAGTGTTTGACTTTCACAAGATCAGATTTAAAAATGTGTTTTTATTATTTCCTACGGATGCTCCAGTTTCAGTCCCTACAGTGCAAATCTGCACCGATTGTAAAGTGACTGAAAGAGAAGAGAGTGACAAAGAAACTGTGTTTAATATGGATCAGTTATGTCTGGCTGACAACCCGATCAGCTTAATTATTGGGTAGATTCAATGCATCCTTAGTTTTAATCCTGATCATGGTTTCCCTGGATCCCTGGTGCCACAAGTTTGAGCTCCTCTAATGACCTCTGCAGGATGCAGCGTACATGGAAGTCAAGTCAGGAAAACTTTCAACTTCTCTCTAGAAATACAAAGTCCAAGAAGTTTGTCTAAGTCAGTAATACATTTCAACTGTTCTTGGTGAAGAAATGTAAAAAAATATTATTCCTTTATGATGATATTAAAGCTTCAGTGTGTAACATTTAGGAGCATCTATTGGTAGAAATATATAAAGAACTATAACATAATGTTTCATTAGTGTATAATCACCTGAAAATAAGAATCATTATGTTTTTGTTTTTGTGATACCTTTATATCTACAGACAAACTCTCATTCATTTATTCATTCATTCATTCATATGATCGTAGAACTGCTACTCTGAACCTCACCTTTGGGTCCTTTGCGACCCATTAGCCCTGATGGACCTTTCAGACCAGGAAGTCCTCGTGATCCAGTGTGTCCGGGGAAACCGTTCTCTCCGGAGGGGCCTGGAGGTCCAGGTGGGCCGGGAGGACCGGGTAGCCCAGAGATGCCTGACTCAGGCCTGCTCAGGCTAGCTGCTAGCTGGGCCAGCTGCTCTGTGACACAGGAGGACACACTTGACATTTATATTTATAAGATGACATTCAGTCCAGAGCAACTTTAAAGATTCAGGGCATGAATGTTTACAGCTTCTATCGGGGACATCTGTGTGTTTATGTCTGATTATATAACAGTTACTATTATATATTACTGCATTAATGTTTAAGTAGGAGCTATTTCTGACTGTTTTATAGAGCTTCAACTAATGATTTCTTTTCATCATGGATTGAGCTTATTTTCTTTGATTCATATATTTAGTGTTACCAGCCGAGCTTTTGCGGTCAGGAAACTGTACAGGCTGAGATCAAACTGGAGGGCTGAGTTGGAAGATGGGTGTGGTCCAACCCAGAGTACACATGTAATAATGTAGTAATGACTACTGAGTAGTCATGTCAAAAATGTCAAAAGACGTGGAGTATTTTTATACCCTGATAGTAACACAATATATATTATATATCAGCTTGTTCTAACTGTTCTTATCTGCTTCTTTTTCTTGTGGTTGAAATTCTTGATAAGGAAATATAACATTATTGAGTTTATGAGTTGAGCTTCATGGTCTAACAATTAGGAAAGATAGAGAGATTAAGGGTACGAAGATGACAAACACTTACCTTGCATTACCCTCATGCAGACTTGTTTGATGTGTGTATCAGTTGGTGTTTTTCCCTGAGCAAACACAGATTGTTGACAGTGATGAGCCATGAGTTCATACAGCAGTGTGTATGGGCAAACATCACATGGGAACGTGGCCCTGAGGTGTTGCCCTTAAATATATTTATATCCATAAAAATCCTCCCAAAACATTCAGTAATTTCTGACGAATATTAGAAAAACTCTACCAGAACTTTAAAATTAGGCCCTGGTTTAAAATAATTGTCCTTCAGTGCAATAAGCAGCTCTGATTCAGCAGAAAACTGCAGCACAATCGTTTACAGATTAATAATATATATATATCTCTCACCGCTGGTCCCTGTGTCCCCGGCAGGCCTGGCACCCCCATATCGCCCTGCATGCCTCGTGGTCCTGGTTGGCCAGACTTGCCCTCTTTCCCTTGCTGTCCTCGGCTGCCCTCAGGTCCTTTATTTCCTGTCTCTCCCGGTGGGCCTGTCTGCAATCAACAGCAGCAGGGAGACAGCAACATTCAGGATGACTCGATTACAACAGATAGGAACTAAAACACACAGTGAGAGGTGGAAAACTAAAATTAGATTTATTCTTTTGTTAGATGAGATCAGTGACAAGGCAACCTATAAGAGAGCTGTGTTTATTCATATAAAAAAGGCCTCCTCCTCATTCAGGAGCTGCTATTGTTTGACTGTCTTGTGTGTTTCCCCTTTCACGCAGGTATTATCGCTCCCTGCTGGTCAGAGGAATTATTTGTATTTTCTATCAGAAGTCAATTGGCAGGTCATATAGTTCACAAAATGAAAAATATGAAATATATATAGATATAATATGAAGTGAAGACTGGTGAATTTTGACTGAATTGTTGCTTGTAGTGAAGGCAAGTGTTGAAAACACAGAACACACAGCCGACCTGTCCTCTAAAAGCCTTAAGGAAGCTTTCAATTTTATACACACTCATAATGTGTTTATAATGTGGGAAACAGACTGAATTATAGGGTCAAATTCCTCCACACGAATATTTTAATATTATTTAATACAAGAGCTCTGTTTGTGTTTGACTCATCTGTCCGAATGTCACCAGTTAACATGGTCACTCTTTAAACCAAAACACCGGTAGTGCCTCACAAATGTCGAAACAAACTGATAAATTTTTATATTTTTTATACTGATATCTAATATGAGTGAAGATTCAGCAACTGCATTTCTTATTTCTAGCCTAAAATGTGTTCAGAAAC